GGGGGTGAAACCGAACTCATAAAAAAACATGAAAACAGTACATTGTTACTAGATTTGATAAAAGGCGACTCACACTAGACAAATGTCCATGTGCTTCTTTCATTTAGGTAGAAATATAGTCTCTGGACATCATGTATGATTTTTTAATTCCAATCCCAAGTGTTGTCTTTTATGCTAAGAGAACTCCAAGACCCAAAGCCAACTGTTTCTTCATTTTCCAACAACAAAGGAGCTTTGGTATGTGTTATTACAGGCGTTTAACCTCGATAGGAAGTGTAAAAAAGCTTCTCAGTGGCCATATTTATAAAATCTCGTGCCATGGAAGTTGTGGTTTAAAAGAAATCACGCACTTTTTCGCATCAGTTGGGAAGAGGTCAATTGGGATACTACACAGTACAAGACTCTTCTTGGCACAGCTCCTGGCGAAAATGTTTTCGTCGGAATGATTATAACCAATTGGAGGATTTCTTTTGAATCCACGGGGCTCCTTTCCAAGATTGATATCTTATCACCAATTGAACTTTTAGTTCTCTAGAGAAATCCTTCCCGTTTTCCATTAAATTGAGGAAAAAACATATTACACCTTATAGATAAAATGAATTCAGATTTCAAGAAAATAGCTGGGGAGAGAAAGATTCAAGCTCGAGTAATCAAAAACTGAGAAATAAAGAATCGATCAGAAGAGGATACATATCTTGCAACCAAATTTAANAAAAAAAAAAAAAAAAAAAAAAAAAAAAAAAAAAAAAAAAAAAAAACAAACAAAAGCAAAAGAGAGAGATAGAAACCTGAGGAGCAGCGAGGAGGCCGGGGTGGGGATACAAAGACTGCTGCATCATTGCCTGCTGTCTAAGCCTCTGATACTGCATCTTCCAGGAAGAGTGAGATTGAATGGAGGAGACGAAGATTTTGAAGTGGGGAGTCTTAGAACGAAAATGAAAAAACAAAGAAAAAGAGAGAAAAAAAAAATAGAGAAGAGGGGAAAAAAAAGAAAAAGAAAAAAACCCTCGAAGGAGGGAGCAGAAAGAGGAAAGAAGAGCACAATACAGAGTATCAGACAAATAAAAAGAGCAGATCTACTGCCAACCTTTTATATACATCCATTTCGTCTATTATCCAACAAAATTATAAAAATAAATAAATATTATTATTATTATTAAATTTCCATTTCTTTTTCTTTTTCTTTTGCAGCTGGACACTTTATTTTTTATTACCACTATTTTACTTTGTTCGTTGGTTTTAAATATTATTTTAGTATTATAATTTATTTATTAATTTTTTAACAACATATTAATAATTAAAATATTTTTTCAAAAAAAGTTTAATCCTAAAATTCAAAATAAAGAAACTTATTAGCCTTAAATGTAAGCCATTACACACAGTTAAATGAAACTGAGCTATGATAAATTTTTTATTCTATCATTTTTAGTCTAAATCACCTCCCAAAAATGTTTTTTTTTTAAATTATTTTTTCATCCTTTTCTAAACTTGTTACAATCTCACTTTTGATGTCAGTTGTCTTGCAATTGTGCGACACTCACTTCATAACAACAAGCGAGTTAAATCAATTCGTTCTTGTATCGCCTACGGACAAGCGACTTATGCTTGAGCCTTTGACCTCAGTTTAAGAAGAAAGGTTTAAAGGACGGAGGAGAGTTTTGAAAGTAAAATTTCAAATATTGAAATTAGTGTTATATGTGATGCAAGCAAAAAGGGAACAACAACCGGTTACACCATATAACTATAACTATCGGAAAGGAGAAGTTGACAATTACAATTATTTATTTTTTAATTATCTTAGAATGTGGGTTGAAGATTGCATATAAACTTGAAATCCAAACAATTTTAAACTGTAATTATTGGAGGATATGTGTGTGATTTAAAAAACATGAACACAGAATAAAATAGTTGGATTTGCGTTGATAGATTATTAGATTGTGAGGGGTGTATATGATTGGTGGGTGATGGCTGAACCAAAAATGGCTGACAATGTCAACACAACTCTCCATCGCTCCTATTCTTAGAATCCGGTGTAATTCTGGGGAATCATCTGTTTTCCAACCCCAACAACGACACAACTCCCTTCATTCCCAATTTCAACGAATCGGGAAAAAAAAAAAAAAAAAAAAAAAAAAAAAAAAAAAAAAAAAAAAAAAAAAAAAAAAAAAAAAAAAAAAAAAAAAAAAAAAAAAAAAAAAAAAAAAAAAAAAAAAAAAAAAAAAAAAAAAAAAAAAAAAAAAAAAAAAAAAGGAAAAGAAGCTCTGCCTCACACACTCCAGAGACAACCACGCAATTCTTCGAACAGCGGCTGGTTTCTACCCGGAGCTATTCCATTTCCCGTTCCAGCTCTGCAATGGCCGCTGTTCGAAATGTGTTCCTCTTCCTCACCATCTTCCTCGTCGGCGGTCCACCTCTTTCCTGTTCCCTCTCCGATAACGAGGCCCTCCTGAAGCTCAGGCAATCCTTCACCCATGCCGAATCCCTTAATTCCTGGGACCCGGACTCCCAACCCTGCGCCGCTCGATGGACTGGCATCATCTGCCACAGAGGCGTCATCACCGGTCTCCATCTCACCGGCCTCCGACTCTCCGGCCAGATCGACATCGAAGCTCTCCTCCAGCTTCGCAGCCTTCGAACCGTCAGCCTCGTCAACAACAGCTTCGCCGGGCCGATTCCCGAGTTCAACAAAATCGGCGTTCTCAAATCCCTCCTTCTCACAGGGAATGATTTCTCCGGGGCTATTCCTACCGATTTCTTCGCATCCCTCGCCTCTCTCAAGAAGGTTTGGCTCTCTTCCAACAATTTCTCCGGCGACATTCCGCACTCTCTGGCGAAACTCTCGTATCTAATCGAACTCCATCTCGAAAACAACCAATTCTCCGGCCAAATCCCTCACCTACACCAGGCCGCCTTAACCTCTCTAGATCTCTCCAATAACAAGCTGGAGGGAGAAATTCCAGAGAATCTAGCGAAGTTCGACGCGAACGCATTTGCCGGAAACGAAGGTCTGTGTGGGAAGCCGCTCCCGAAATCATGCGACGGCAATAACGCGCAGATTTCGGAGGAAAACGCGTCTTCTCCGGGGGAATCACAAGGCAGCGTCTCGAAATTAGTAGTGGCGTCGTTGATAGCGGTGGCTGTATTTCTGGTGGTGGTTATGTTTCTGAGCGCGTCGAAGCGGAGAGAGGAGAAGTTCAGCAAGCTAGGGCGGGAGCAGATGAATGAGATGGTGGAGGTGCACGTGCCGAGTTCCGGGCATAGGGAGCAGCTGAGTAGAAAAGGTGGGGATTCCAGGAGAGGGTCGCAACAGGGGAAGGGAGGGATGAGTGATCTTGTGGTAGTGAATGAAGAAAAGGGTACGTTTGGGATGGCGGATTTGATGAAGGCGGCGGCGGAGGTGCTGGGGAATGGTGGGTTGGGGTCGGCTTACAAGGCCGTCATGGCAAATGGGCTGTCGGTGGTGGTGAAAAGAATCAGAGAAATGAACAAATTAGGGAAGGATGGGTTCGATGCAGAGATGAGGCGCATGGGACGGCTGCAGCATCACAATATTCTCACGCCTTTGGCGTACCATTACAGGCGGGAGGAGAAGCTGCTGGTGTCCGAGTACATTCCTAAAGGCAGCCTCTTGTATGTGTTGCATGGTACGTTTCTTAATTGGATTGAATTACAAAAAAAAAAAAATAATAATAATAAATAAATAAATAAAAATCTTAGAACAAGTTAATAATCACAAATTCTCTCTAGAACAATCTTTACTGAATTGAGACTCTTAAACAAAGTACACCCTTCTATTCAATACTTTAGTCATTTATTTTTTATTCATTGAGGCTCACAATTCTGTGTTACTCTTAATACTATGTTAAGAATTATTGATCCCCTAAACAGGAACCTGGAACCTAAGCTCTCATATATTTGTTTTGTATTTCTCAAAAGACATAAATCTGAGATTCCTCCAACCATCCTAAAGAATCCTGAACCGAACATAATAATCGAGCAGGGGACCGTGGAGCCTGCCATGCGGAGCTTAACTGGGGCACCCGGTTAAAGATCGTGAAGGGGATCGCCAGAGGCCTAGGGTTTCTCCATTCCGAGTTCGCGACCTACGATCTGCCGCATGGGAATCTGAAATCAAGCAACATTCTTCTAAGCGACACCTACGAGCCACTTCTCAGCGACTACGCGTTTCATCCGCTAATCAATCCAAACAACGCGACGGAGGCAATGTTTGCGTACAAATCCCCGGAGTACGCGCATCGGCAGGAAGTTTCTCCAAAATCTGATGTTTATTGCCTTGGAATTATCATTCTAGAAATTCTGACCGGCAAATTTCCTTCTCAATATCTTAGCAATGGCAAGGGAGGGACCGATGTGGTGCAGTGGGTCTCCTCCGCAGTAGCCGAGAAGAGGGAGGCGGAACTCATAGACCCTGAGATAGCAAACGACGCGAATGCAGTGAGTCGGATGGTCGAGCTCCTTAGAATCGGCGCCGATTGCACCCAATCCAATCCTCAGCAACGGCCAGAAATGAAGGAAGCCATTAGGAGAATAGANGAAATATGAGGAATCATAAATTTGTTTTTGGAAACTAAGAAAAGGGCATATTGAGGGGGGGGAGGGGGGAGGGGGGATGTGGGGAAGAACACAAAAAACTAATGTGGTAGATGGATAGTTCGATTGGAAAGTTAATTAAAAAGTAGGGAAGCTGCTTCGGAGGAAGAGGGTAGGAGGAGAGGTTTGTGAGTATCTGAATCCCCTGCCCGCCGCCGCAGTGCACCATCGGGTCGGATCCGCCCGAGACCGCACTGCATGGCTCCGCCTCTTACTGTGTAACATCATTGTTTGTTTTTATGTATAATATCTGGGATCAGTTCACCTCTGTATTTTTTTTCCGTGTAAATGAATTTACAACACTGAGGGGTGGGATTTTTTAATTAGTTTTTTTTCTTTATTTATTTATTTGTTTGTTTGTTTCTTCAACCTTAATAGAAACAAACACTTGTGATTATCCAGTTTCTCACGATTTCATCCTTTTCCCTTTCCACATATTTCATTTTCCAAAAATAATTTCTCAAATTACTTATTCACATATAATATTAATGTTAATTTAAATTTTTTTAAATATAACATTAACGCAACCGGATTCCCGTCTCGGGTAGAAATGACATCAAAATTAGTTCTTTAATTTCATTTTCGAAATTAATTTTTATCGAACTCAGTTGACTTATAATTATGTTGAATTCGTTTATATCAGCAACAAATCCAGACATTTGTAGATTAAACAATTTTCACATCAAATACTCCTTGTTCATGGCCGACAATATTTTCTCGTACATATTCGATAATGCCTTCAACAAATCTAATGGTGTCTTCTCCTTGATGTTGAACGCCATGTTTCTAGACAGCATCAATCGAATCAATCCTAAGGTTTGACGATCCCACTGCTCTGTAGTCATGGTATCAGGCTCGATCCCCAACAGGGTTCGTGAAGATCTTTTTGGTACAGACAATCTTCAATTCCGATTTTTGAACTTTTCATCTTCTTACATCGCGTGAAACTCACCTTGTACCCAATTGTGCACGCAGATGAATGGTTTTCCTATAAAATTAATGAAAATTATAATTTTTTAGATTTTTTTAAAAAAATTTAAGATATTATTAAAAATTTTAAAATATTTTTGAGATGCAACTTTATATATATATATATATATATATATATAATAATTAATTTAGCCTTTCTATTTCTAATAAACAAGAGGAAAAAGAAGCAATAAACTCTGCAAGGGAATCAAAGAAATGGGTGGTATGGTATCCTAATGATTGGCCTTGGGGTTGGCCATACCGGAATTCTACGTGTCAAGCTTTGCCATGAAAAGGTCTGTGTTTCGCACACGCGTAACGAAAATCACTTCAGTTAGCTGTAGCCTAAACGCCAGATTTCTCCAGTGCGGCGATGTTCTCTCTCCCAGTTGTTTTGGTTGCAGAATTTGAAGTGCGAAGCCGAGACCAGACCGTAGAGCTGTTCCAGAGTTGTCCGCCATTTCCGTTCCTGAAGCTTCCTGGCTAGTCTTTTCTTTTGTTTGTTCTTATTATGTTTATTTGAAAGCTTAATTAAACAGTCACTTCGTCATACTGAATCAGTGGATTGAAGGTCAGTGTGACGCAAGAATGAAGACTCCGATTTCTATCTCACCGCAGCAAGACATATATGGAGATCTCTATCAACCAGCACTTATAATTGCCGCTTGCTTTGTGGTTGTCGCTCTGGTGCTCTCCATTTTTCTCATTCTACAGCATCTCAAATCTTACTCCAAGCCGTCGGTAACCGCTTTCATCATCATCATCATCATCTCTGTTCACCTTACTTCAAATCAGAACAGAACTTTACCTACACGTTGAGATCACAGGACACATATTTATTGATTTCAGGTGTTGAAACTAATAATAGCTAATAATAGAATAGAATTTGAATTGGTTTCAAATTCAAATAGAATAGAATTTGAATTGGTTTCAAATTCAAATTCATCCACAAAAATCTCTCAACCGACTACGGAATCACCCTAGAAAATCTCAACCAACTCTGGAATCCCCTATAAAAGGACCTCCCTCCCCATCATTCAAATTACTCCTCCTCTCAATCTCAATTCAGTTTTCTGTTGTCACCAACAACTGGTATCAGAGCAATCTTGCAGCAGCAAAAATGGCAGCAGAAAAACAAGTTGAGAACTACGTTCAATCCGCCATCCCGAGGTTCGACGGTCACTATGATCATTGGGCGATGTTGATGGAAAATTTTCTCAGATCAAAGGAGTTCTTTGATATGGTGGAAACAGGTTATGAAGAGCCAAAGAAGAGGCAGAGGTCGTGAGAGAGGCAGTCGAAAAAGAAGTGGAGATGTTGGCAGGTCAGCAGACCTAGTCAGAAACGATTATGACAACAAAGGCAAGAGACACTTTGACAAATCTAAGGTGGAATGTTACAGATGTGGACGCCTTGGACATTACAAAAATGAATGTTATTCCAGGCTCCAGGCTCCAAAAAGAGAAAAGAAATCAATCCAATTTTGTGGAGAGAAGAGAAGGAAACATTATTAATGTCATTCCATGCTATGAAGGTTGCAGATCAAGGTGTATGGGTCGTAGACTCTGGATGCAGCAATCATATGACAGATTGTAAGAAATTCTTACAATCAACATCGCCCAATGATGTTTCTTACAATCTGTCATATGATTGCTGCATCCAGAGTCTACGACCCATACACCTTGATCTGCAACCTTCATAGCATGGAATGACATTAATAATGTTTC